GAGCTCGCTGACCTCAAGGCCTCGGCTGAGAAGTCGACTGCCGAGAAGAGCGAGCTTGAGGAGAAGATCAAGGCCAACGATGCTAAGATCGCTGAGCTCGAGTCTACTGTCGAGGCCGCCAAGGCTAAGGAGTCTGAACTCACCGCCCTCCAGGCTAAGCTCGACGAGGCCACCGCTGCCTCCGAGACCGCGACCAAGGACCTTGAGACCTCCAAGACCGAAGCTGCCGACGCTAAGAAGTCCCTCGAGTCCCTCCAGGCTACCCTGAAGGAGCAAGAGGAGAAGACCAGCGCCCTGACATCCGATGCCGAAGCCGCGAAGAAGGAGCGTGACGACATCAAGACGGAACTCGCCAGCGCTAAGGAGCAACTCGAGAAGGCTCAGGCTGAACAAGAGGAACTCAAGAAGGCCAACGCTGAGATCTCTTCCAAGGCCGAGTCCAAGGAAACCGCCGCTCCCGCCGTCGAGCCCGCCCCTGAGCAAGTCGCCACCGAGCCCGTCGCCGAGCCCGTCGCCGAAGCCAAGGTAGAGCCCGAAGCCGTTGCTGACGTTCCTGCCGTCGACGGTGCCGCCGAGACTGAAGCTACCAAGGAAGCTGAAGAGCCAAGCACACCTACTACACCTACTACCCCTGGCAACCAAGCTGACGAGGAAGACGGTGAGGCGAACGGCGAGGCCACACCTAGCTCGGGGAAGAACAAGAAGAAGAACAAGAAGAAGGGTAAGAAATAAGCGTGAGGATGACGACGCTTGTTTGATGATACCTTTTTCTTTGGTCCACGTATGAGATGATGAGAAGATGAAAAGACGGAAGTGGAAGATGGATGGGAAGTTGCATTATACCCTTGCTGCACTGGCACCCTCCCTTTTTGAAGATGGTGGGGTGGCTGTGGGAGGATTTTAGATTGTTTTGTTTTGTTTTGTTTATGCTTGCCGTCGTTTCTTTGTATTGCGGTTGCGACCCCGATCTCTCTCCTCCTCAGTAATGACCGCCTTTACGCCCTTCGCATGAGTATGAGATGGATGAATGGATGGATGGATGATTGATAAGGATGATAAGGAACATGAGTCATGTAGATAATGAAAAGACACATTTTTGCGCTTTGTATACTTCTGTACACTTCTCAAATTGGTTGATGTGATATGTTCACCTCTATCACAAATGTCGAAATCGTGCCACGACATTCGCTGCGTATACTTTTTTTTCTCCGAGCTTCCGGCACCGTTCGCCTTGTCCAACATTCCAAGTACGCCTGCGTACCCCTCAGAAGTCGAGGGACTTGAGGCCAGGCATACGTGTCGTGGCACGAGAACGGTAGATGTGAAAAGCGACTTATACTGCGCCTATGACAGCGTAGACTAACTTCGATGTTCACGTACGGAGGAAGTCCTTTGAGTAGCTTTCAACTTCTATTCGTTGACTTGGTTGTAATACGTTGAAGTGGCTGGCTCTAGTAGTTGAAAGAAGAAGGTACGCAATATGACACAAAAGCGGTAAATGTAAAGAGCTAGTCATACTGCACCTATGACGGCGGCAGACTAATTTCGATGTTCACGCACACAGCAAGTCCTTTCGCCAAAATCCAACGTTCATTCGTTGACTTGGTTGTAATGCGCCAAGGTGGCTGGCTCTACTACTTGAAAGAAGAAGGTACGTACTGTAGTAGAAGTTCGTGTAGCAAGGGAAGTCGGGACTATGCCAAAGCGGAGCGGTACAACGTTGTTAGTTGTGTTATCCCTGTACGACACGGAGGCGTTTTGTAGATGTATATATGAGTATGAGTCTACGAAAGATCTGTCCGCACACAGCCTCGTCTCTCTTTCTCGATACTTGTTATCTCTACACCAGCACTACACACAGCCTGCAAAAATGACTAAAGCACCTTTCTTGACGCTTCTCTTCATCACGACAGCAACCTGTCTCTCCATCACCGTCAACAACAACTGGCATGATCAGTCGGTCCTTGCACCTAAATGCTTAAACAGGTTTGGTACATTCTCCCCTCTCTCGTCTCGTGCTTCCGCTCGCCTCTCATCCACTACTGTACAACAAAAGCATCTCAGCATGGTGAACACGTCATCATGTCAAGGCTAATCATACATGGCAGACCGGTGCAACCTTGACATAGACGAGCCACAGATATGCTGCAAAGGGTTGATGTGTAGGGAGAGTTACCACCAGACAATTTATGACTGTCTCAAGCCGGGAGATTTTCAAGTCGAGGTTCTCGGAGAACCAGAGTGTCGGGTTGTGAAGCGTAGGTCTCAATGTTTCCATACCCCTAATCTCACCGCTCCGCTGTTCTACTTTGTGGTATTTGAGCGATACTATCTAGCGATGAAGAAACGCAGCTAACTGGGTTACAGAACATTGCAGGCCGCTTCCCGATCGCCCGCAGGAGGGATGTTGTAAAGGAATGGTGTGTGAGAGGAGGTGGGATGGACATGGGCATTTGGACGATTGGCATATGTGCTATGCGGAGGAGAGTTTGGAGCTATGATGGATGCACAGAGCAACTTAGGGGTGTGTGAGAGGAGTTCTTGGGGGAAAACTAGGCAGATAGAAGGTGTATGAGCGCTATGAAGCATTGATACGGGTATCTTCGATGCCGGAATGAGCGTGACACGGGGTTTGTGAGTGTCAAAAGGCTTTGAGCATTGATACGAGCATTCAGCCTTGCACAGTTGGACCACGTACGTCATGATAGTGCTGCTCGTAGGGTATCAAAATTGTTGAGGGCGACGGAGAGTTACTAGTCACGGAGAATAAGTGGTTGTTGTTCGTACGGCGCACTTTGCGGTGAGGAGTGGGCGAATGGACGTGTCGTTTTGTATACAAAGTACTAGTGAGACACGTCGCCGACTTGTGCTGCCGTGGCTGAAGAATTTGGTCATCTGAGTGTCTGTTGCTGAAAAGTCGGTGGTGCACGAGAGAAGCTCGTTTTCGCTGCTTCCGGCTCATTCCATTCGTTGTTCGCGCTTTCTAGGGTGTGAGTCTTACACATTATCTCTTCTCAATCGGATCGTCCTGCTAGCATTGAAAACAGTGCGGCGCATGGTCCTGCTGCGTTGGAAGGGAAAGTGTGATAATCCATCCGACACATAGCATGCAGTTAGAACGTCAAGCTCGACTCCAGACGTTGAGAAGAAAGGCCCGAAGCTGACGGTAGCATCATGCGTGGCGAGGAGTGCTTTTTCGTTCTTCGAACCTTAGCGCACAACGCGCGACAGCAGGATCGTCATGCTTATTTCCCTCACGCACCGAGACCCGGACCAGAAAAGTGTCGGAACATTCTGTCGTCTCGAAACACGAGTTGCATGCTGATCTCACGATAACTGCGAGCAGTTCGGTCGCCGACTCTCGTGTTTTAGTCTCCGTCGCACTTAGAATGTTGAGACAACGAGAAGAAAAGTGCGATGAGCTTGCGGAAGCACGAAGTGTAGGAGTCTTTGCGAAACAATGATGGTGTGTATAATAAAGAGATGGAAGTCGGCTCCAGCCTCGTTCAAACTTGCTTTACCATGAGTACCCAACTTTCCTCGTTCGCCATGAAGATCACCATCCACCTACTTTTCGCACTTGCGTCATCGGCCGCTTCATTTTCTCTTCACGAGTCTAGACAAACATCTTGTCAACCTCTCGGTGGTGCGTTGTCAATCCCTCTGCTGTCCAACTGCGAGCGTGAAAGCAATATAGAAGGCGCGTGCGTGCATTTAGCTAATGACGAGCAGAACATTGCCTTGCTGATCCCGGCGACTTCCCTCAAGACGGTTGCTGTAAGGAATTCAGCTGTGAGCAACGCAGAGATCCATGTTTCGGTATTCTGGGACCATTCAAATGTTACGACACGGCTGCTCCTGATGAGGAATGTACTATAACGAGGACGGAGTGATGGGATTGAACGCGGGGTCGGGTTGTGGTGCTGGTAGCGGAAGATGCCGCGGTAGATCCCGTGACAATACTATCGATAATGGTGACCTAGCGCACGGCAGTCTAGCATATCCGTAAATGTTAGAAGATGAACAACGTGATGAACGATGCCGTTGAGATGCGTCGTGGTTCTAGTCCACCGCTCCATTGATGTGCTCGCCTGACCCCGCTTTGGGCGGACCGAGCGGGCGCTAGGTGGGTCCTGCATCCCCAACGATGTTTGCTCTTTCCCATCCTTCTTCCTGCACCCCGACTTCACGATGTTGTTCCTGTCACTCCACATACCCGAGATCTTCGCACATGTTAGCACTTCCTCGATATCTAGCTAGGCATGTAGGCTAGCTGACCGCCGAAGCCTGGTGCAAACAGCTTTGGAGGTCGCGCACCTGTGTCGCCTGAAGCGTGCCCAACTCCAATTCAGCTTCACATGACTGCTCACAGTCTTGAGATGAGACACCTTGTCTTCTGAGAAGAGCTGCAAGTCTGGTCTTCATATGTTGCAGATGTTGAGAAGTACACGGCATGGCATGTCCCAAAAGAACATGAACGCGCTGGCTTTGGTCGAAGGATCGCCTCATCCCCGTTTCATGTGACGAGTGAAGCAATGGTTCATGTCCATGGCGCGCACTGCTGTCTCCGAATCTGGTATTCTAGCAGTAATGCACTGGTCGGCTCCATGGTCGGTATTGGAATAATGGTGCAGACGCGCGATCAGATTCAGGCACAGATGCAATGCTCCCCACGAGCCGACGGACTTCTCACCGCTATGGTGATGCACTGGTAAAGTGGCCGTTGAACAGTGCTTCCGGAACGTTTCTGGTAGCTTTGATTAGCACAGATCCGATCTTCATGCGTGCAGTCACGACGATGCCAAAAAAGCACCATCAACACCGTGCACGAGAAGAAGCATCAGGACAGACACCGACATCCGAGCATATAAGGCTACTTCTCATACCACCTTATTGCTCATCAGCTCATTACATCTCATTCACACAACAGTCACTACTATACCCTAATACCTTCTAATAATTCTTACGATCTTTCCAACCGAATTCATTCAAACGCAAATATGAAGTTCTTCGCTATCATCGCTGCTGCTCAGCTCGCCACTGCTCTTCCTTTGGCCAAAGAGGATGACTCCAAGGCCTGCTCCGGTGGTATGTCGCATCCTGCCATCGCTTCCGTTTTCCCCACTGACCAGACACAGTTACCTGCCCAGTCACAGATGCCTTGGGCTCTTCTGTTCCAGCGGTCCCTGGCATGAAGCGCACCTTGTTCGACGACGTTCTTGGCAAGCCCGCGAAGGACGAGGAGGAGAAGGAGAAGCCTGAGGAGGAGGAGAAGGAGGAGAAGGAGCCTTCTTACTACGTCACTCCCTCCAAGGAGGACTTGAGCTACGACGAGCTCAAGCCCGAGATGGAGGAGTCCTACGAGGCCATCCCCAAGGAGACCGAAGAGTCTACTGACGAGCTTGAGTCTTACGACGAGGTTCTCTCCAAGAGGACTCTCGGCGACTTGTTCGGCATGGACGACGAGGACTCTTACGAGGAGACCAAGCCCGAAGCCACCAGCTCCGCCTACGAGGCTAAGCCCACGCCCAGCCAGGGTTACGAGCACGCTCCCAAGCCTTCCATGGCCTATGAGCATGTTCCCGAGCCCAGCAAGGCCTACGGCGCTGTCCCCACCCCCAGCAAGGAGGCCTACGAGCACGTTCCCACTCCCAGCCAGGCTTACGAGCACGTTCCTGAGCCCAGCAAGGCTTACGGTGCTGTTCCCACCCCCAGCAAGGAGGCTTACGAGCATGTCCCCGAGCCCAGCAAGGCCTACGGCGCTGTTCCCACCCCCAGCAAGGAGGCTTACGAGCACGCTGAGCCCAGCAAGGCCTACGGCGCCGTCCCCACTCCCAGCATGGTCCACGAGTACACCAAGCCCAGCATGGTCCACGAGAAGCCCACCCCTTCCTTCGGCTCTTACGAGTCTGCCCCCACCCCTGTCAAGGACACCTACGAGTCTTACCCCGCTGAGGACTCCTACGAGGAGGGTACTGAGGAGGAGACCGAGGAGGAGACTGAGGGCGGTGACATGTTCGGTGACCTTCTCGGTGGCATCTTCGGCAAGAACTAAGCCGCTCCGATGATCGCAGCCTATGTGTGATGCCACCATCACCATGAAAATTTGGATGGAAAAGTTGTGTTTGACTCTTCATATTCAAAGCAAGCCCTTGCGGCTTCTTTCGTTTGTCTATAGCTCGCTCGAGTCCCCCTTTGCAGTCGTTCTGGTTAGCCAGCTCGAATGTGTACATGTACTTAGACTAGTATCTTCAAAATTGCAATTGTTATTCTGCTATCTTCCTGAGCCATGTTGCAAGTGACATCGACAGCTTTCCGCAGTCCATTACTCATCAATGATCACTACTCCATTGGTCTCGGTCTGGCAATGACCGCTGTTGCCAATCAGATTGAGACTCTCATATCTACTCCATCGAGCCTACACCCTGCCAGCTTTTCTTTGCACGAGAGTCGAACTAACACTTCTGCAGTCCATACGCCTTTAATCAGCATGACCTATCGAACGTTCACGATCACAGTCTCTAATGATGTCTTTGCGGGGTCAGGCTGAGGACTCATCAGCCTGGTGCCATCGTGCTGCCTGCAGCGATCGTTGACCAATGATACCGTCACAAAGGTTTGAAATGCGATTAAGAGCCTCGAGGCATGATCTATCTTTCGCAGACGCCGTCAAGTGTGCCAAGGAATGATATGTGATGCCGCAGATATGTCTACATCCGGTGTCGTGGTGTTGCGATAAGAGCGTCCGGCTCTATCATAATTAGCCGCAGATCTGTGATTAGTCGTTCTTTAAGGAAGGCATGTTGCAAAGCTTGAATAGTGCACCGATCAGTTGTTTCTAGAGTGTTCATGTGTCACCCATGACGGCTGGCGACATGAACCTCCTTGTGTATCGCCTCCGACAACACGAAGGTAGCAGATATAAATGCGGCGGAGATTGAGTGTATGCTGCCCGTCAGTCCAGCTCACCCTAAATCCCATCCTACCTCCTCCCAAGCACTTCTCCCAACCCTTGCAAACATGGACTTTGAACCATACACCCCCCACCACTTCAACACCGCCCCAGACATCCACGATGCCTACAAAACCTACGAGAGCCAGAATCTAGAGTATTTCATTTGCACGACAATCCGAGACATGTTCGTCGCCCACAGCGTCCACAATCTCTTCGGCCTCACTCTTCTCCACAACCACTTCAAGCTTGAAGAAGCGGAGAAGCTCGTTCATGTCGACAACATCGCGCAGCCCTGGAACGACCATACGGCCCGCAAAGAGCTCCTGTCTGATGTCGTCCCAACGCAATGGCGTTTCACCGACAGCGGTATCGCGCCATTCGAGTTCAGTTGGACTGGAAATGACCGCAGCACCTCTGACTTCGACATAAAGGAGCACAAGGTCTTTTTGCAGGAGCTACAGGCGTTTCTAAAACTGCAAAGCTGGTTGGGTGTCTTCGGGGTGCAGTATCTGGACACCTCGGTGCAGGCGATCGGCGAAGAGAATGTGCCTGTGGAGATGACGAGGGAGAGGGTGAACATCACGCTTCCGTTTGTGCTGAATGAAGGAGATGAGCTGGCGAACTTTGAAGTTCTGTGGTCCTTTGATCCGATGATTCAGTTGAAGAAGTGTTGTATTGGTAAGTGTTTGGACAAACAGTCTGGACACCCAAAGTCTCATACACACAAGACTTGCAACTGATAGAGGTGACGGTACAAACTACGGGCGCCTCATCTGATGGCTAGCTAAGACTTCATCAACTTCATTCGCTCAGATCATTGTCATATAGCACATCAATGTAAACATCCGCAACAAAACGACAACTCAAATCATGCACACAAAAGCATCTCACCCAGTGTAAGGCAACTCGCGCCCTTCCGCCAGCGATCTGCAGTAAGCATTGCGTTATCCCACGCGATCCAACGTAAGATCAGCACCCGGCCCTCCTCGGGCTGATCCCTGACTTACATACGCCCCGTGACCGTGCTTTCGTCTCCGTCAGATCAGAACGGATCAGATGCACCGAACAGTCGGTCTGCCCCGATGAACGCGTATGACATGCTTAACCTGGGGCTCTGTTGAGAAGATGCACGTGGGTATGCCCAAGAACGGCTCGTGGTTTATCTGATGGGAAGTAGGTGTGGTAAGCGTGATGTATGTGCTCGGGGGAATTTCACGGTGAAGGGGTTTGGTATTACGCCTTGGCCAGATGTTCTGCCTTTTGGGGGTCGAGGTCTGGTCTGGGCCGTTTGGGTGGTACTAAACATACAAGCAACATGTTCTCGTGATGCGAACATATGGAACGCATGCGGCACGGTTAGTTGCAACGATAATTCGCCGTCGCTAACATGTCACCATAAACCATCAGGGTCTGGACTCAGCGTGGGATGGTCTTCATCAAGGCATGTGACTTCGTGACCAGGACTGATCGCCTGAACATCTTGTGTGACACGGGTCCTCGGCGTCGGGACAACCACTGGTCATCTGTGAGGGCCCTTGTATGCCCACCGCCCATTCCGCCTCGTTAACGTGCGCGATATGCTGAGATCATAGCACCTACTCTGATAAGCTCAGCTGATGCCTATATCGCATCCGGCACCGCGGAAGTCGTAGCTCCTTGGCAAGTGTTAGGCAGTGGTCAGGATTGGGGCCAAAGGGTGACTGCGCCCTCTATTGTGGCGGAGCTCGCATAACTTGACATGTTGGGTGTGGGCCAGGCTGCGGAGAAATGTTTGGAAAGATCGCATATGTGCAGGCGGGAATTAGTGTGTTACAGATACATTGCGCTACATACGGTGTAGTTGGATGGGTAAAGAAACGGGGAATCTCTGGAGTTTGAAGAAAACGAAAGAAATGACTAGGCGAACACCAAGCCTTGGGTATATGGGAGAAAGAAAATATTCTCTTCGCGCATCCCTTCGAGACGCGAATCGAGATACATGGGGGGAGGTAGTTCGGAAGGGCTCGAAGTTGTGGTTGGCGCGGATGTTGCCTTGGAAAGCGATCGACTTCGAGCTCCGTGGAAGAAAGACTCCGAAAGGCGAATATGGGAAAGATTATTGGGTAGAAAGAGTGGGATAAACGCCAATGTAATGCAAAGCTGACCATCCTGTATCGACAGGGTTCGCGATCGGGTTGTATGCGTAAGATGGCTTGTATCGCAAATGATGATCCTCTATGTGTAGTCGATGATGAAACCGAAAGTGTGGTAAACGCCGCCTCCCCGGGGTATGATGCGTCCAGTGTCCAAATGCCGAAACCGCCGTATTCAACGCCAAACAGGATACCGGATATTATTAGAGAACTGCGAACGTCTGAAGGTGTGCGGGATGCGCGAGGCGAATCTAGCGATGAGTGGTGTGGAGAGCGATTGGTGCAACACCCCATCGGGTTAGGCCCGCATGGATCATGCGGACATTGGTTGATCACCCGATGCAGATCAGAGCCCGCAACGCGTAGTCGTATCGGTAACCCTTGGAGTTTTGTCTCCCAATCTTGCCTCTCCTACACCCTCGTTGTATCTTCACCGTATTGATGGTAGCCATGAGTTGCTGACATTTGGCTGAAGTCTGGCAAGCCGTTCTGCCGTGGCATTTGCAGTGCATGCGCTATTGGCGGCATTTCCGTTGCAGCCGAAGTATTGGGATATCCATAGTCCCAGGACCCTCGTCCTCCATGAGAAAGAGGCGAGGGGTATTGTGATATCTGGTGAGTGGTAGCGCCCCACAGAGTCATGCCCTGGCCTGAAGGTGTCCTTTGGGCAACCGGCATGCCTTGTCCTGCTGATCCTTCGAAGCCTGCTGCCACATTTTGATGGGGCGATAGACTAGACGAGGTCAAGCCAGATGTATAGGTCGTTGAAGCAGTCGAAGTAGGCAGGGTCTGAGGTGATGTGTGTCGATGAGCGTCCAGTGTTGCCTGCAGGGCAGTGCTTGGAGCGTACGAAGTCGTCGCAGTGGAGAGATGTCCAACGCCAGCTGTTGAGGCATAACTAGCAGACTGGTCTTGTTAGCTTCGATCTCAGTAGCTAGTCGCGGAGAACGTACGTATTTGCTGATGATCTTCTTTAGAGCATGCGACAGTATCTTCCAGGGAAACACCTTGACGTCCTTCTCAATATTACGAGGCTTGGGATTGGGGAAACCCATAATAACTTTGAAGAATGGTTCGCTATCCGCCCTCGCCTTGGAGACCGTCAGGGGACGGAAGCCTTCGAGGTTGCGACGGATGCGGTTCTTCTCCTCAACAGTAAAGCGGACGTTTACTAGTTGCTCCAGTAGGAAAATGGTGTCTACGCTTGTGATGAAGCACTCATTCTTCTCTTTCCACCAGATACAGCTGACGCAGATACCACGCCCCTGTCGAGCTTCAAGTGTGGTGGGCGCAAAAGTAGTCGTTATCTTGCTGCCATGCTGCGATCTTTGGAACTCGACGAGCCGTCTCTTCGCGTCCAACTCCTCTGTCGACCAGTTGTCGCCCATCTTATCAAGATCGCCGTCGATCTCCAATATCGCCTTGCTCGGACCCATCGCATACGGATTGAAAGGCTGAGTCGAACCAGTACTACCTTCTCCTTGCGCGAGATGTGTTGCACGGACCAGAACTGGTGTTGAAAGAGCGGGTGGTGAGGGCAAAACGGTCGCGGTGTTGCCTCGACTGGTGTGAGTGAGGGGGTTGTAAGAAGCATAAGAATGCGGCATCGGCGACATCTGGGGCAGTTTGTAGTTGCCGTGGCTCATGCCAATACCTGAAGGTACTGCGTAAAGAGCCCTTTGGGACAGTTGCGAGCCGTAGTTGGTCTGTTTGGATATGTCGTACCCAGCGCTCTGTGCGTACGTGTTGTCCAACGCAGACTGGGTCGGTAGCGGCGATAGTTGAGCGGCAGAGTAGGCTCCCGACGAAGCGCGCGGCTTCGCAAACACTCGCTTTGCGACATTGCCATCGGAGTAGCCTCGACTGTTTGCGAACTCTGGAGAGTATTTTCGTTTCCTGGAGAAATCGGGTGAGGATTGGTATGCTAGGTTTGGCGACATATCGGTGTATGTGAATCTTCCAGCGTCC